TTTTTAAAAAAGCACAAGAATTTAATAGTAATTCATGAGTTTACATTTAAAATTCTAATATTCATCAAATATTGCAAATATCAGTTATGTTTTATGAGTTTTATTCCAAGATTCACAACTTTTCTTCTCAAATTTGCAAGAAGAGTTAAAAAATGGAATGAAAATTAAAAACATAAAGGCAAAAATAAGATGACTAAATAATATAGGTGATCACATTCATAAGGAGAGGGATAATTTAATTCATAGAGTTAAAAATTATAATTTATAAAATTTTTAAAGGGTATGATAATTCTAACCTTTATAATGTATATTAATGAGTTTTGTCATGCTTACAATAAAGAAAAAGGTAATTTAGTTATTTTTTTATTTTTTAATTCCTTTCATTCAATTCCTTCCCATAACTAGATGGGACCAAAATGTTGCTTCCAGTTGAAACATTACTAATAATAGCTTATTTTATTAAGCAGTCAATTTAGCCTAAGAAAGGTTAGCTATTTCAACCTTGTACATGCAAATTATTTCCAATTACAGACCTGACAATGATTAAATATCACACGAAAGTGTGTAGCTATTGAATTTACATATGATTATATAAAAAATAATCTATACGAAGTCTGATAAACAACTCAACAATCGTAACAATAAAAATGAAAAATAAAAAGTAACATTAATCCTAATAGAAAGGAATAATCATTTGAATGCAAAAAAATATTTTTGAAAGAGCTATCTTTAATTAGAATTGATAGTATTCGAATATAACTCAATCTGATAGTTGTATAATAAAAAAAATAAGTAAGCAAATTAACTCATACACTACAGGTCTAAAAGTATTTGGAATCTTAAACTCATCTTTTATGCAATATTTTCTTTCAATTCAACTATTCAAAATGTCACAATTTGATGTCTGCTTTTGATCAAAGTTAACTTTGAACTAGAAAATAACATAAAATGATTTGAAAAATTACAAAAAAAAGGAAAAAAGAAGAAGAGAAAATTACATATTGGTTTTGTAAAACATGTTTATTTATAAATAAGTCTTGCAAAAGCAATTAGGTTCTTTAAACTTAAATGTAATTTAAAATTATAATACAAAGATAATATTGCTCCTGTTAAAAATACTAAAGTTACATTTGTAACATATTAAAATGAAAGTTATAAATTACTTATAATATAGTTATAAACAATTAGTGTTAAACTTCATTAGTAATTGATGATCGATTTTACTATTAAATATGTGAAATTATAGTTATAAAATATTAAAGTGATAGTTGTGAATTACTAATAAAATAATTTTATACAATTAGTATTAAACTTGTAATACATGATTGGTTTAACTGTTGAATATGTGAAGTTATAATTATTAAAATTAAAATTATAGTTGTAATTTTTTTATGAAATAGCTGTAAATTATTTTGATAACTGTAATGCAGTTTTAATAAAGACATTATTATCTTTGTATCCAATTTTAAATCATACTTAGGTTTTAAGAGACCTGAGTGTAATTTTTAAATTTTATGAGACTTGTTTGTAAATAAGTCTGCTTCATGAGATCTTTATATAATTTTTCATAAAAAAATTATTGGTCTTTTTCTATAATTTTTTAAATCCTTGTTCATAATTTTTGAGTTCATTACTCTAATTTTTTGGATCTTTGTTTTAATTATTGGGTCCCTTAATTATATCTAAATATTAACTAAAATTTTAAGTTTGCTCATATTAATTGCATGGGTAATATTTTTTTCAATCAAATTAAAACAAATGGATCTTAAAGTGTTAATATTATTAATAAAAAGAGGTTGTTATGAATATATAATACATAAAATATTTACATGTCTCAATTTAATTAAAAATTGATGTGTTAAGAAATATATAAAGCTAAATATATCAATTTTAGTACATTGAATAGAGACAAAATGAGAAAAAGGTTTAAAAATAAGCAAATATAACTATTGCATAAGGTTTAAAAAAGTTAGTTATCTCTTTTAATTATATCTAATATTAATTTTCCTCCTAAAATACCCCTCTTATTAATGTTTAATTCAAATGCACCATTAAATGTATGTTTATCCTCATTTACGGCCAAAATTGAAAATCTTCGTCAAATGCACCCAACACGAGTGAATTTACTTAACATTTCTGAAAAAAGAAGTTAAAATCTTAATTTTTTTAAAAAATTTTTCAATGTTTCTAATCATGCTTTTGAATGTAATAATTATAATATTTGATTTATTCAAAATATTTTCATTAATTACTCAATAAAATAAGAGTGTAATTAAACAAATGTATAATACTTATATAATATCTTATATTTTTGAATCAAGTGAAGCTTCTAGAAAACAACATATATTATAGTCCAAAAGAAATATATTTAAGACCAATTTTTTTTTCAGTAACTTTTGCTTATATTTAAAATTAAGAAGATGGAGTAATAAATAGTATATTTGATGTATCATAAAAAGAATTAAAATTTTTTATAATAAAAATATACTTGTATATAAATTAAAATTAAAAATAGAATAACTAAAAATTCCATAGGACTTGGGAGGGAGTAGCCAAAAAATAGAGTCGGGAATCAGATGGTATAACACATGGGATGAATGCCCCCTGATCACGCAATGCTATGGTCTTAGGCTACTTGCATGGTGATTCATTTATTAAGTTCACCGAAAGTTGTTGTTAGTTACCGGCTCACTCATTGACCTTTCCAAACCAATTCCATGGATCCTTCTGGAATCTTTTTCGCATATCCCCCACCTAACCTGAGTCTTCCGCTTCCAACCCTTATTTTAAATTTTTTTGTTTTTGTTTTTGCTATGAGTAAATTTATAAAAGTCATATAAAATAATAGTGTCAATGAAATATTTAAATATTTTTTGAAAATAATAGTGTTCCAAATCTAATTAGCCTTAATGTAACGTAGAATTTCATTTCATTTCATTTTAAAGAACTGTTAAGTTAAATATTTCAATTTAATATTGTTAGATAATCATTTTTTGCATAAAAACAATCGGCTTTTGGAAGAGACTCCCATGGTACGGATATTATGACCTCTGAAAAGTAAATTTTAGCATGGTATTGAAAACCAGACCGGACCGGCCGGGTCAACCCGGAAACCGGTGAACCGGTCCCCTGTCCGGTTTGGGTTTGCACTTAACCCGGTGAGGGAGTGAACCGGTGTAACCTGGTCAACCCGGGTTCAACCCGGTATAACCCGGATAACCCAGTGGGTTGACTGGGTTAACCGGGTTAATATTTTTTCAGACTTTTACCCCAAAACGATGTCGTTTTTGATTTTTTTTTTCATTTTTAATTTTTCAGAGCTCTGAGTTCGGAAAAAAATAACAAAAAAAAGTAAAATTGAAGTCAAAAAATAAAAAATTAGAGATAGAGCATGCTAAGTCTAAAAATATAGTATTTTATTATTGTTAGACTTTTGAGTGGTTGGATTTGGTTGAATGTTTTTATAATTAATGTCTTTTTATTTAAATTGTATTATTTTAATCATGACCGGTTTGCCACCGGTTCAACCCCCGATTCAACCCTAATTGAACCATTAACCCGTGACCCAGTGCCATGACCGGTTTAATGACCGGTCCGGTTTTACGTACCTTGAATTTTAGAGAAAAAGCTACTGCTTGATGATCCATAGAATATTCCTTTCTTAATAATAATAATAATAATAATAATAATTTTATTCACACATTTTTAAATATTTTGATTTGATGTTTTGACTTGAAAGTATCTAATGCCGTAAAATTCAATATCTTTCGTGGTATGGATTGCGGGTTTAATATCCACCTCGCTTGCCCAAGGACAAAAAATTTTGATATCCGATTTTTGGGCCTGAATGAAAATCAATTTACCTAATGACAACAGGGAAAAACCTAACACAAGGAAGTAGAAGTGAGCTGGAGATTATATTTTGGGAGATTATATTTGCTTACACAAGCAAAATATATTTGCTACCTAAATAAATTATAATCATTTTATGCTTTATTTTTATCAACTTCTTATTAAAATATTCAAAACTAAAAAATTTAAGTTTGTCATTAATTTTTTTTAATGAAAGTCATCATTAAATTTTTAAGACGCTTAGTACTATTATTAGATTCTAAAAAAATTTAAATAAAATCTAAGAAATTTTATAATCTAACATAATTTTAGAAATAATAATTTTTTAAAAAAATTCTCATAAAAATTATCTTTCTATTTTTTACATGCAAATAATTTTTATTTTAAAAAATAATTACAATTTTAAGATTTATAATTCGAACATTTTAGCATTTAATCCGTCAATTTAGTCAAAAAAAGTATTTAATTCATCAATTACAATTTTTTTCAATATTAACAAGTCAATTTCAAGATTTTTAGACACGGCTAAATTATTAATAATGTTATTAAAATTAGATTGGACCAGTCAATTTAATTGGTTGGATGAGAGATGGGCCACTTGTTTGGTAGGAAACGAAATGAATCACATACTAAAATTTTAAAAAGAAAAAAAAAGCTTAAATGCTACAGCTAGATTAACCAAAAAAAAAAAGATCTTCTGAGCCTTGACGGTCTCACCAAAATAACCAAACCAAACCAAACCAATGAAACCATTTAGAATATAGCTGCAAAGCAAAGGAGCAAAACTCTATGGGACTTTTACACCTCCCCCACAAAAAAAAAAAACCTATGGGACTGTATATTATTTTTTTATTAAAAAATATAAAATATTTTTAAGAAATTGAATGTTAAAAAATATATGATATTTTTAATTTTTTAAAGTATAATTATTACTTTTTTTTTTAAAGTGGTGTCTTGTTAATAGTGACTTTATTTTATTATAAAATATTTAATAAAAATAAATATAAAAAAATTAATTTTAAAAAAATTATTTTATTAAGGTGACATTCACATAAAAATTTCTTACATGTTGTAAGGAGGAAGTATTCCTCATTTTGTAATGTAGCTCAGCACAACCACATTTCTGTTTCTCTCTCTAAAGCTAATTCGATTTCGTATTTTCATCCATCTTGGCTTCGTTCGTTGTCGTCGTCATCTCTCTCTTCCCCTCAGTGCTTTTTCCTCCAACAAATGTGGTTCGCCGTCACAAAGGCCTTACCAACCAAAAAGTGCAGGCCTATATAAAAAAGGACAGTGCCATGACTTTCTGAGCCCGATGGGTGTGTAGGATAAGTCTGGCAGCGCATCTTAGCCTCCACCACTTTTCCCATGCTTGGAGTCCTCTGCAGTACCCGCCCCAAGCCTTGGATCCTCAACTCTCTCTTTTCCTTCCTTCACGGCTCCGCGGCTCACCACCACCACCACCACCACGACGCTCGACTTCCTCCCACCTCCTTTCATTTCGTCGCCGACGCTGACGCTTCCCGTCGGCGTCATCACTCCAGCGCCTGTAAGCTCGATGGTGGCGGCGCCGCTTCCGTATGGCACGTTATATTACCGTCTGGCGGCGCCGCGGGGTTTCGGAGCGATCTTCGTCGCGCTCCGATGCTTCATCAGGAGTTGAAAGGGGAGGGGTCTTGGAATGCCGCCTGGGATGCCCGCCCTGCCAGGTGGCTTCATAGTCCGGACTCGGCCTGGCTTCTCTTCGGCGTTTGCGCCTGTCTCGCTCCCCCTATTTGGCTTGACGCGAATCCTGAAGCTCCGGCCTCCGACGAGAAAATCGATAGTGGTGAACTGAAGGACGCCAACCGCGACATAGCAGATGACGTGTCTTCCGATTACAGAGTCACAGGTTCTTTATATCTGGCTTATTTTTCCAAACTTAATTTATTTTGATGTGTTTATGTACGTAAATAAAAAATATAAGTCAGTGATTTTCTTGCTCTTAGAGAAAAATAATGGTGCTCACATCCTTAAATTTCGCTTTTAAACCTCGTTCAATCATCTGTTGATGACCCTAATTTGACAGGGAGGTCCTGTGACATGCAAAAGAGTTCCGTGCTTGTTTGTTCTTTTTACTTTTAGATCAAGATTTTGAGTTATTGAATACATTACTCTCTTGAAATGCTTTTAATGAGTTATTTTCTTGTGACAATGATGATTTCTTTTGTAATGGAGTGTACATTTTTTAAAGATTAGATTAAAGGATGGATTATCTTATTGCCTTGTTCTGTAACTGTAATCAAGACTCTGAAGAATGTTTGATATCGCTTGGTCAGATTATGATGCGTTTTTCGTAAAAAGACTGGCAACATAGTGCTGTCATAGACTCGGAAAGCTGCATCCAATAGTTCAAACGATAAAATTTTATGATTAATTTTTTTTTCTCAAACTTGTTTCCAGTCAATCGATTTTTCTTTTCGGGCTAAAAATTGCTCGCGAAGGTCTGCTGAGCGCATAGAAACCGATTCTTTGCATTTAAATGCGTTGCAGTCACCGTTGCAAATAGTTGTACATGTAGGTCTGCAAGCATAAACTCCCCAAGCACGGCTGTCTAATCTTGACTATAATAAATACGCCAGCGCTTGACTTTGTGTATCAGTGGGTGGATTCAGCTTTTGATCGTGATACCAATTGTTAAAATTGGTGAAATTCGTCCGGTGCAGGGGTGCCTGCTGATGGTCGATGCCTATTCAGATCGATAGCTCATGGAGCTTGCCTAAGAAATGGGGAAGAAGCACCTGATGAGAATCGCCAGAGAGAACTCGCTGATGAACTGAGAGTTCAGGTAAGATCACTACGCTCCAGGCAGAACAAAAAGGCAGTACCATTTGCTTTACAATCTTCCCTAAAAATTGTTCTTTTTGTAACCTCGTGTTATTGCGCTAGGTTGTGGATGAGCTTCTGAAAAGACGAGAGGAAACAGAATGGTTAAGATTTATAATATGTCATTTACTGGTTCATATGCTTTATTTAGAACTTGTGATTAATTGACTCTGATATGTATAGGTTTATTGAAGGGGATTTTGATGCGTATGTGAAGAGAATTCAGCAGCCATACGTATGGGGTGGGGAACCGGAACTGCTGATGGCTTCTCACGTTTTGAAGTGAGTTTTAGATTATGTTTCTTTATACTGACTTCGAGGTTCGTTGTTGATGTCCATTTAAATTTTGTCACAGGCATTATATGTTGATATTAATCACTTGTTTAACTTGATATAATGGTTGGTATTACTCCTTCCAATTAGTGAGATATGATATTTCGTATTTATACGGGTAAAAAAATCAATACCAGTGAGCTTGTGAAGTACTTGCTTCTGCAAGCGTTTTAAGTTATACCTATAGTACGGAAAATATGAAGGATAATATTGTTGTATACAAGTAAAACTATATAATCGAATCCCCAATAGCTTTTAGAACCTTCTCCCAATAATTTCCCCTGTGAAAATTAATGAAAATCTATGACTAGTCTTTGAAATGTATTTTACATACCAGCAGACCCATGTAGAATATTTAAAACTGTGATAGATATAGACATTTGTTTGAACCTTGTACAGTTGTGAAACCTAATTCTAGGGCTTAAATTGTGTGAATGAAATTGTCTTAATACCAAGCCAAGGAGTCAAGGACTATTTGGGCTTTCTCGTCGATTGCAAGTTCTAGAATCTTTATTTTTTCAGTCTCCATTACTCTCTTCTGACGAATTCCATATAACTTGTCAGGACACCAATCTCGGTCTTCATGAGGGACAGAAACTCTGGTGATTTGGTAAACATAGCGAAGTATGGTGAAGAGTATAGGAAGGAGAAGGAGAGTCCCATCAATGTGCTATTTCATGGGTACGGTCACTACGATCTATTAGAGACCTTATCAAACCAAATTTGCCTGAACATAAGCGCATAGGAATTGGGTACATTAGGACCTCATTTTCCTTTAATCAAACTGTTAAGATCTGTCTGGGGAAAAGCTTATTTCAGCCTAGAAATGGCTCGGTGAATCTGGAAGCCTTCTAACTTCAGTTTCTGCTGCAGGAACTTCAATTTTATTCAAGCAACATGCTTGTGCAATTTTTGTAGTTTGCTTATTTTTATCTTCATTTTTAGAAGTTCAGTATAGACGCAACAATGAGAATAATCATAATAATAAATAATGATGATCCAGGATTTGTGTTTGGTATTTTCTGGGCTTCACTCATTCTTTGATCGGGCTTTTCTTTTTACCTGGGCTCGGCGTTCATGTTAGTCTCAAGAATTTATTTACTTATTATTTTTTGGTCATCAAGGAATTCGATTATTTCACTATTTGATGCCACTGATAATTTCTCCTTAGGGTAAGGTGAAGAATAGGGGGTATGTTGCTATGTTAATAAATTTGCTTGTTGGAATATTGTGTGTGTGTGTGTTTGGTGATTTTTCCTTCTTGTGGATTTTTTTGGGGGCCAGATTCATATGGATGAATCATATTCTTCTATGTACTTGAGCTACTCTCAGGGCTTCATTTTCTCTTATGTACTTTTGGAAAATTTTATTTTTATCTAATTCTCAAATTTTTATTAATGAAGAACTTGAATTGAAGATGTGTATAATGAAATATTGAAATGCTTCATGTTCTCGGGGTGGCTATATATGTGTGGAAGCAACGAGGTCTTAGCATGTACAGTATTTCTTAATTTTTGACGACGAGCATGTATTTCTTAATAATATTTGAAGTATCTAAGAATTTTTCATTATTTTTTATTTGTCAATCGTCATCCATGCGCTATTGCAGAAGTTTGATGAGTCAATAGACTAACGTGATAGTTAATGTCCAGTTAAAGTTTTTCATTATTATACTCTTATGTCTTAATGCGTATTATAAACAAATATTATACTGAATCAAAATATGAAATTTGGTATGAGAGTTCTGTGCCTGCTCTTTTACTTTGAATCAAAATATTTTGCTTTTGTGGTGGATACTAAAGCCGTGAGTGGAGAGACAAAAGAACATGTTTGTAGGTTTAGCAAGGTTCCTTTTTCTTTTTGGTTCAACGCGAAAAAGGAAAACAATGCATCATACTTTATTCTTATCTTTGATGAATTGGTGAATATATTCTTCACTGGAGTTCACGTTGCAGGCTTGCAGACATAGCACCATGATGAGTATCCAAGGACATATAGATACCGATTGATGCCAAACCCTACACACACATGTACCAAAAAAAAGAAGCCCTCGGAGAAAGAAGTTTATTATAGGAAAACAATCTTTGAAATTAAAATCCAAGTCAATAATTTTGTAATCTAGCAACATACTATTCTGAGTTTATTTATAAAACATTTTCAATATGTTTCATCAATGTCAAGGAAAACTTTAAAATTCATTAACTCTGCTTTAAAATTTAATAAATTTTTGACTTTGCTCCTATTAAATATACACACTTTAATAATATATTTTTTCTTTTCAACATTCAATGGAAGGTAAAAAAAAAATTTATGATAAAAATTTAATGACGACTTATAAATAAAATAATTTTTTTTCCTACCTTATAAATAGGACTGGAGGGAGTATAAAGTTTTTTTATAATTGTGAGGTGGAGGGTTCAATCTTGCTGATACAAGAATCTATGGATAATTTATTAACTTTAACTTTGTTGAGACTTGAAATTAATTTACTTATACAATATGGGTGGCCAAAAGTTCGAATTCTCATTAATTTAGATATCGCTAAGTCAATTTGTCGATGAACATGCTTACATGAAAAGTATTAACTATTAAGCATCTGTTAAATTGTAAGATAAGGATCCAAACAGATTTTTGAGAAAAGCAGGGAAAAATATTTTTAATGAATGAATTCGATTTCTTGTGATTAATTTAGGTAAAAGTCACATGAAGATGTGAAGAGAATACTTGAGATTTACCGTAAAACTTAATGGCATAAATAGATTCCTTCTTCTTTCTCTTTTCGGGGTACATTTTTCTCTTTTCAATTCAAGTGATTGTATTTAATTAATTAGATTGTGAACCCATAATTTACATCCAGTATGACTCTATGATGTAAGTTGTATTTTTTGTGATTTATAAATAATTTGGTTTTATACATATTTGTTATTATGTTTAGATTTTGATGCGCAGTTAGCGTTACCAAATGAGAATTTTAAGGTGAATGTTAACCATAATAGGCTTGGAATATTAGATAAAAGAAATGAATGATGAAGTGGACCGGTCGGACGTAAATCCAATATTGGTGGGAATATGGGAGGTGGCTGTCCATTTTAAAGTCAAGTTTAGCATCAAGTCCTTATAGAGGAAACAAGAAGGAAATTTCAGAAAAGATTATTTAATTTTTGATTTGATTAAGTTCTTTTAACAGATATTTGCGATACCAACAAAGAATACTGAAAGTAAAGTCAGGAATATGGATTGGCTTTTTTTAATTACCCATTTAAGTCCATTTTTAGAGCTTAGACTTTAAAAATTGAAGTAATTTTTATATAAAAAGACTTTTATTCCCTACCCATTTGAGCTTTAAAGAACAAGTTCAGGTTATTTATTTAAGTCTGCATTTATTTTAATTCTTGAAAATGGGATATTTTAAGCTTTTAAATTAAATTTAAACTTTAAAATATATGTTTGTACTTTAAAATTATGATTTATATTATCTAGTTTAATTTTGATACTATAATTTGTATTTTAGAAAATGAATATGTAATATTATAATGTAAATATTAAATTTCTAAGAGTTAAAAAATTTTAAAATAAAAATTTTAAAAAAAGACTTTCAGAATCAATAAAAGCCAGCCTAAAGAATTAATCAATTTTAAGAAAAGTGAATTTTGGACCTACAGCCCATATCTGACAGGCAATTTACCAATTACCAACACTAACTCAAAACCAGAGCACACAAACTTTCTGGACTCAACTTTAGACTTCATGATTCATCCGCATTTTCATCTGTACAAGGCATTAATATGGGTATTTGGACAAGTTCTGACAAAAAAAGAGGCATTGGGATAAGTTTGTCTTTTTTGGCCCAACAAAGAAACAGAACATCATTAACGAGTGCAAAGCAGCCATACAATTTGGATAAGTTTGTCAACCAGATGAATTTGAATCTCTTCGGCCCAAAAAAAATAAATAAGTAAAAGACGAATTTGGATCTTTTACGGTCCCGGAAAAAAAAAAAAATGGACAGAAAACACTGTGTATTTGCACTTATTACCAAAAGAAAAAAAATTAAAATATATAAAATCTTTTCATTATATAACTATTTATAATAAATTTTTTATATTTTTTTAAATAGTTGAGGAATTGATAATAAAAAATATATTATTATTATTGTATAAAATTTTATATATTTATGTTTATATTAATTTTATATATTTTTTAATTTTATTTTTTAAAAGATAAATTTTTATTCATATTTTCATGTTACATTGATATAATACACATTGTTAAAATATTTAAAATTTTAAATATTGTCATGTTAGATTAATTTATCTTTTAATACTAGAAAATTATGCACCATTGATAATAATAAATAAATAAAATTAATATAAAAGTAAATATTTAAAATTTTATATGGTGATAATAATATTTATTTGTTTTGTTATCAATGCCTCAACTATTCAAAAAATATAAAAAATTTATTATAAATAATTATATAACATAATATTTTTATTTAATAATATTTTTTAATTGAATGACATTTTAATCATTATAAAAAAATAATATAATTAATAATAAGAAATTTTAAAAAATAAAATTAAAGGTTAGAGGTTTAATTTTAAATTTTTAAAAGTGCGATGTGTTATATATTTTAGTCAAGAAAAAATATAAAAATATGGAAAATAATGAACCTTCATAAAAAAGTTTACTGTTCTTCAAAATAAAAAAATTATTTGGTAAAGTAATTTTAAAAATTATTTTTAAAAAATTAAAATATTGTTTTAGAGAGTAAAAAAATAAAAACTTATTTTAAATATTCTAGAATTATTATTATAGGGAATAAGAGAAAATGAGAAAAATATTCATTTTTATTATTTTTTTATTCTAAAAAACTCAAAATATTTTTTTACAGAATATTAGTTTTTAAAATAATAGAACAAAAATAGTTTCAAGCATCTCCTGTTCATTTGATTTGTTTTATATTCTCTTTGATCTAAAATATAAATATTTTTTTAACTAATGTTGATTAAAAATATAAGTAATGTAATACATGTAAATTTTTGTCCCATTTTACCTATTTATTAATTTAGATATTTGTGTAAATATTTTTCTCACTACAATAGTAATTGATATTAAAATAAAATAAAAAAATAATATATATTTTTATAAAAATAAAAACTTTATTGACATACTGATTTTTTTAAAAAAATTGCCTATATTTTTTAACTAAAGAGAGTATGAGCCATGCTGTGGTGGCAGAGAAATGACCAACTTGAGTTTCAAATTGTCTCCAAAATTATAAACTTGTTTGATAACCTATTATAAAGATTATTTTTATTTAAAAAATAAAAAAAATTATTTGATAACAGGTTTTTAAAAGAAAAAAATTAAATATTATTTTGAATAATAAAAAATGAAAACACCCTTATGAAATTATTGTTCTAAAAAATAAAAAATTAAAAAATATTCATTTTTATTATTTATTTTTTATTTGTAAAACATATTTTACAAAATGTTAATTTTTAAAATAACATTTGTTAAAAAATATAACGTATTTTTAACCGAATCTCATCACCCAATAAAATAATTATTTACTTTTCAATTAACTTTATTTTTTTATATTTATTCTTATTAAATATTTTATAATAAATATAAAATTATTATTAATAGAAACACTTTTAAAAAAGATAATAATTATATTTTACAAAATTTAAAATATCTTATATTTTTAAACATATAACATCTTAAAAAATATCTTATAATTTTTTTTAAACAACCCCGTACATTACCAAGGTTGCTACCACGTGTCCCTCACTCTTCACCGGAGGCTCTCTGCCAACCGGGAGAACCGGCCGGCGAACAAGTCGGCCTTCTCTGTTACCGGTTTTGGCATCTCGTTGTGTTACGGGAAATGATAAAGCCATAAAGCAAAATGCATAATGAGAGTGTAGCAGAAGTACTAATTTAAGTTAATTTTTTTTTTTTTGACTAATTATAAATTAAAAGTATTGATGGATTTTCACCTCAACTTTATTTATTTATTTTTGGTGTAAAGGCCATCAATCGATCTTGAACCAGAGTGAAGAACTACTACTCTGGATGCGTTTGCGGTGATGGCACTCGACGTCGCAACCTTCGAAAGCATTTGCCCTTCTCGATTTATCGCATTCACGATTCCCGATCCCGTTTGTTCTGATTCACTGCTCCGAGTTGCGGTTCTGGACTCACCGATTCCAGCTTCTGACTCACCCCTTGTTGCTGCCATGTTCGTCCCTGAAGCCCGCGAAACTGATTGGATCTTCTCTACTGAATGGGGTCATCTCCAGCTGCTCTTTAGTTCTCCTGGTGTATCTCGCCTCATTTTGTTGGGAAACGAATTCAGTGAGGGCGATTCTTCACCAACTATTTATCACCGTCCGGTAGTATCTTCGTTGCGTCGGAAGGAGCTTGAGGTATGCTCTAAACCTCTTCTCCTCGCCTTGTCTCCGAGATCGTTATTTAAAAATGACATTCCGGAGGTACCGATTTTGAGTTATGAAGATAATTTGGTTTCTAGTGTGGTAATACATAAATGTGTTGGTTGTCTTGTTGGTGAAATGCTGGTTGAAGATGTTGGAATTGAAAGCCAGAGTGGCGTGGATGGTTGTTATAAACGGGAATTTCGAAGGCGTTTGAGGTTCAAGAGGATGCCTAATTTGATTCAGACTGAAATTCTTATAGTGCCTGATACAGAAGATTTTCATTCGCCTAGTGTAGGGATTGGTGAGGTGGATTTTATGCCTGATCTTCGGGTTTTGGTTCACCCTTACTTGGCTCCGATGGTGGCAAGCCTATCGTTGATCAGTGAATATATAGAGGGGCGAATTCAGCTTGGGATTAGACCAAAAGCTTTATGTCTTGGGGTTGGAGGTGGGGCTTTACTTTCTTTCTTGAGAGACCAATTGGATTTTGAGGTCATGGGTGTGGATGCTGATAAGGAAGTTTTGAGGGTTGCAAAGCAGTATTTTGGATTAGAAGATAGTGAGTTTATGCATGTTGTTACTGGAGACGTCATTAAATTTGTGAAGAAACTTTCACATCAGGCAAATTGGCATCCTATGTGTTCTTCTGCCGCTTATGAGCACGAGGCTCATTGTCACTTTCCTGATGGTGAAGCTGTCAACCATAAATTCGATGTCATTATGGTTGATCTAGATTCACATGATGTAAGGAGTGGTGTAACTGCTCCACCATTGGAATTTGTTAAGAAGAATGTTCTTCTGGCAGCTAAGTCAGTTCTTTCTGAACTTGGAATTCTTTCTATAAATGTCATTTCTCCTAGTAGGTCCTTCTATTGCAAACTGGTACATCATTTTCAGGAAGTTTTTGCGGAGTTGTACAAGATAGATGTGGGCAATGGTGAAAATTTTGTAATTATTGCATCAGCATTACCACATGTGTCTTCTGTTGGAGACAGCAATAACTCTTTTTTTATGCGACTGAAATCAGTTATTCCAGAAGCATACATAAATTCCATAACAAAGATATAAGGTCTGAGTAATTGCAGATTGGCTGGGCAAATGCATTTTTGGGATTTCATTTTGACTCACATTCTTCTTTAGAAGACTGATGATTGATTGAAGATCATCTATACTGTTGTGAAGTGATTCAATTGCATAATTATTCTCCGTGCCTATTTTCTCCTCTGGTGAGATTCAGCTTCAAAGAATTGAGCAGATACTGTAATTAAGGGCCATTTCCTTGAAAAAGCAGATTTTCTTCTTTTTGCGGAGATCCAATTGCTTTGATGGGGTATTCACATGGTTTTAGACTGTTGAGCTTCAGCTTAATTGTCCCCAATAGATTTAGCACTGAGAAAGCTGCTTAGCTGATCATATTTATTTTTTGACATTAAAGAGGTTATCTCTATTTACAATGGCTACCTATTTGAGAATGATGATGTTTGAGAGAAATGTGTGCAGACTTTGGATGGGATAATAATTGATAGTTCTCCAGGTAACATTTGCCCTCATACATCTGATCTAAATGCTTTTAGTTAGAATATGTTACATTTTCATATAATCCATGTAGCCGACCCCACATAATAGGATAAAGATTGTTGTTGTTGTTGTTGTTGTATTATAATTTTATGCACTTAAGTAGAACTAATGTGAGTGGAGTATTTCTTCTCACTGTGCACCTTAAACATCTGGATTTGTTGACTAGACCATGCTGAAACTCTGATGGCTTACACCCACCTAGAATGTACTTTGTTAAAGACGTGCTTTTTTGATGGCATATATGAGTCTTCCTATTGGAGGTAATTCTGTTTAATGTAGGACTACCTTGAGATATGAACTCAAATCAGGACATAAAGGCTGAGGCGAAGGGCTACATCAAAAAATGGCCATGCTACTTATTCTCCAGGCTTGGTCTGGTTTGGTACATGGAAATTAGAAATAGTAGGGGTAATTAGGGGTAAAAGGGTAATTTCTAAATATCTCTACAAATAAGGTCCAAAGGATGTAATGGGAATTTCTATTTCTGTCTCTATTTCCCTTTTATCTCTATCATGGATCCTGAACTAAGTCAAAACTTGAAACATGACCACCTCATGTCAGAAATGTGCTCATCTTTAGTTTTTGTGCTGATTCTGTGTCTGTGCTAGGATGTCATTCACTGATAATGGTGGACTGGGTTTCCATATTTTCAAAATTGCTGATATTATGTTTCATATGTGAATTATGAAAAATCTGACCTTTCATCTTTACAAGATCTTGGTTGAAGTTCCTTTCATCATTTATGAATTTGTACTCTGCTGCATGCACATGCACTCACTCTAGAAAAGTAGTGAATTTAGCAAGAAGTTTGGTAAGGAGAAAAAGAGTTGTTCTATTTCTTGTTTGGTACGAGGTTCTTCTTCAAATATTTTCAGGGGAAATTAGAAAGAAGAAAGAGCATTATTTCATCAGGGTCAGGGAGCAGGTTAAAGGGACGCTGAAATGGTCCTTTGCTTTGAAATCTTTTTTTTTTTTTTATCTGATTGAATTTCTGTATCTTTCTTGACAGCACTAGGAGATAATTTAAATTCAGTGAAAGTTCTCATGTTACTTATTTTGGGCCTGTGCTTGCTTCTAAATTCTAATTCATTTTCTTTTTTGTATTAGCATTTCATATACATCACGCAATTTTTTAATTGTTTCATTTCCTTATCTTCCTTAACTACTTCTTTGAGGATACAATTCAACATGGGAAAAAAATGATTTTTGCGAGAGAATGTATGGTTTGAATAGAAGCTTGCTGCCAAAGTTGATTTCCGATCTTTCTTCTGATGGACTTGTTGCCAGATGACAGATACTTGAGATCTTGGTGGTGGAAGAGGTGTACTAAGAATTGGCAACAAAGACACCAATGTAGCCAACCCCTGCGATAAAGAAGGCAAGAGATTGCAGGAAGAGGTATATGAAGTACCTATTCTTCCCAAAGGCTAGGTCGTAGCATCCACAGATGAAGAGGTAGGCCCCAATGCCAAGTTCGAGCAAATTGATTCTGATTTTAATCAACATGAAAGAAGAAAAGATGAAATTAAAAAAAAATGCTAATTGTAGAAATTATGTGAGCTGTTTGCAGGATGATTGTTATCTTGATAGCTTCAAATGTATTAAAATGGAGGTGGTTGTTACATTAAATCTAATGAACAGTGGGCTTTTACTATGTTGATGGGACCTGAAAGCATATTCATTTGTAATCTTGTAGGAACCTTTCCATTTGTGGCAAACGATGAGTCAACAAACTAGATTTCTTCTCCATAGGAACTCTTAATTACAGATCACTTTGATGGTTACACTTCTTGTTGAACAGGGGGGGGTTTCCAGGTCTGCTACAGTGAAATTCTCTAATTTCACTATGAATAGTAGCCTTGTGCACTAGTCTACAAAATTTATTTTTTAATTTTTGCTATATATCAAGCAATACATGTTCGATTACAGTTTCACTGAAATGTAAAATGTATTTGAATATGGTGCTGAGAACTCCATTTTGCTGAGTGATAAAGCTATGGAATTATAAGGTAGAACCCACTTCTTTTTTCCCCATTTTTTCCTTTAAACTACATTGACAATCTTAATGCTTTGCTAAGGGATACTTAGAAAAGTCTAATTTGTTTGGAAACTGCTTATCCTTGCTGTTTCTCCCTTAGTAAAGGATCCAAGTATAGTTAGAGGTCTAGGAGTCTGTCATACATAATATCGATTCAGTCTAACTATAATTCATGTTGATATCTCTTCTTTCTTGAGAATTTTTCCAAGTTTACTTCATTTAGATTTCAAGACCCTGCTATCCCAGGAAAGGAGGCAAGAAAAATACCTTTCACCAAATGAGGCATATGGCTTCCTTGGTGCTTTGCCTCCTGATTTTGTTTTAAGAGAATCTCCCAATTTCTCAGTGACCACCCATTCATTTGCTCGCCCTGCCTCCAGCAAACCTATGAGCGTTGCCTTAGTCCGATGCATTGACATGACATTTTCAAAGAGGACCCAGAATACCAATAGGTGGAGTGATCTGCCTCACATAATTTTGGAAAGTTAGAAAGGAACTATAATTTCTATGTAACAAAAATAAAAACCTTAGGTGAACTTCCATAGGGATCTGCTATTAAATTCTTAGTAAAAACATAATTGGATATTATTTGCAACTTAGCACTGCACCAGTGACTCTTTAAAAGTTCTTCCATGTATGATAATCATACTGTAGAATCTTATCTGTAACTGCTGAGAAATTGCACCTTACATTTGTTTTGTATAGTTTGAGCAGTCATTAAAAAAAAAAAAATTGAACAGTCACTCTTAAATCCACTTTAAAGAATAGATGAAACAAGTCAAATAGTCTTGACCTTGGAGTTCCCACAGCATTAAGCAGAGTAATGATGGAAGGTATATACACGGCACCCCACTTTGGAACTTCCACTTCAGGAACAAGAACAGTTGCAGGCAGAACAACACAGTAGAACAAAAATGTTACCACATGGGCTATGATCTTTCTGACAAAGAAAAAGCTATAAATCACATAGAACTTCTTCCACATAGATACTTTCTGCAAGGTATGATGAACAAAGAATTAGAAGAGATGGGTAACTGTAAAATGTCCTTATTGAGGTCCTCCGGAGGTAATTATAAAAAAGTTGAGATTAATACCTTGTTTCTTATGATTTCCAAGGCCATTTTCCTGAAGAGATTAGCTGGCCCACAAGACCATCGGTGTTGTTGATAACGGTAGGCTTTGAATGTACTTGGCAATTCATTTTTCACCTGAATTTATTTGTGAAATTATGAGTTCATGCAAAAAGATCAGTTGAAAACCTTATTCAAATTACTGTGCACCATCTTAATTTATAAAATAATCTTAGATGCTCATGAGAATATCATCCATGCGTGAGAAGTTCTTGGGTAGATATGATAGATACATCCAACAAATTATGAAGAAACAAGTATGTTAGATGTGTGCCCTCTAAAATGTGCCAAATATGTTTCATATTTATTCATAATCGGTTTGCTCTGTCTTCATTTTGTCGGTTTGCCAAATATGTTTCATATTTATTCATTATCAAGTCAGATTCATTTTGTTGGTCTATTTTTTGATATGTAGTTCAACACCCAGTGAAATAACACTACGGTTCAATTATTTTATCCATCTTAAGAATGCTTGTTCATGTATTGACCTGATTTCAGGCTGAATTTGGATCTAAACTTTTATATGATTTTGTTGGGTTTTGGCTCCGACCACTTGGGCAACTTCTACAAAAGATATTTTGGTCAGGTCAATTAAGAGACATGAACATGATCAGCTTGATTTATCTATTTCTGTGAATATGTTTATCAGAAGGTTTTTCAATGGATTAGACCAAAATTGACAACCTGGCTCATATTTTACGATACCTGAAGGTCACCGAGGTATAAAAATTTCCAGCCCTTGAGACCTGCTCGGACGGCCAAGTCCATGTCTTCGACGGTTGTTCTGTCCTTCCATCCTCCTGCCTCATTGAGTGCAGAAAGCCTCCAGACACCAGCTGTGCCTGTATATGCACACAATATTATCGTCTCCCTCATGTGAGCCTTCCTTTTGTTATGCAGAAACGAATACGGGGTGAAGCAGCTGTAATAAGGTACTAAAAGAGAATGGTTTACCATTGAAACCAAAGAAAGCGTAGGTAGAGGATCCAACTTCCTGCTCAACTTTGAAATGGTAATCCAGTGACATCTGTTGCATTCTTGTCATCAAGCATTCATCAGCATTTACTGCGATACAACGGGAGAGAATATTACTGTTCCAGGATCCGCTTTAATTGCATCTCCTAAATTCTAATTATTGTGTTGACAATATGTCTAAGGATGCTACTAGAAACTTGATAATTTTGGAAAAGAAAAGGAAGTACCGAAAGTCCAGCGAGCTTGGAGGAGAGCAAGTTGAGGGTTGTGGATGAGGAAGGGAAGGGTGCGGAGGAGGAAGTCGGGTTGAGGTTGGAAGTCGGCGTCAAAGATGGCGACGTAGTCACAGAGATGGACGTAGGGATGCTTCATGCCTTCCTTGAGGGCTCCTGCTTTGTAGCCTCTTCTGTTCTCTCTGATCTCATACTTGATGTTGATGCCTTTGCTCTCCCATCTCTTGCACTCCGTTTCCACCATGTCCTGTCAAATACATTTCCATTAAATTCAAAGACATTATAAAGTTCAAATACAAAAATTAAGAAATGGAGGACCTTGATGAGAGGATCAGTGGAGTCATCCAGAACTTGAATGATGATCCTGTCAGCCGGCCATGATAGCCCGCATGCTGTTCCTATTGACAGCTTGTACACCTGCATGCTCCCATGCACCCACACCAATCACACTTGCTTCTACCTCATCTCTGCCAACTCTTACTCTACTCTTATTTTAATTAATTTCGTCTAACTGTGCCAGTTAACATTTAAATTAAAAAATTGTTTCACATGCATGATGATCTGAGACGCGTATTGTATATCTACTTTTGAGATAACAATATTTTCCATGTTAAATAATTTTTTTAAGAATTTTAATGGAAGATTTATTTATTGATAAGATTATCTCTGGCTATCTCTTTTTTTCCGATACTTTTATCAAACATCCAATATTATTAGAACGGTTGTGCAAAGGCAAGGTGGCAAGGTCGGCCGGCCATCACCCGAGTCACATATGTAGTCAGGCGATCCTGGTGTCTAGTTGTTTGGGCCAAGTTTAGCCCAACACGAAAAATTTTTAAAAAAATAATGAAGAGACTTTATGTATTAATCAAAATATAATTATCAAAGATAAATTTTATGTGAAACTAATGTGAGGGTGAATAGTAATCATTTTTTAAAAATATGTTTTTAATTATTTATGCCTAAAAATCAATTATTATTATTATTATATATTGTGAAGTTAAAAAATTACTTTAAGATTTTGAAAATAATTAAAAAACAAATCATACAAAAATCAATTATGATAATAAAAAATAAGATATATTGAATATATTAAGAAATATGATATTACAAAAAGATTACTTTTTGTCAAAATTTTTTTTTAAAAAAATATATATTTTCAGAGCAAGGTTTAATCCTAGTTAGAAGCTCGACTTGATAAGCCTAAATGGCTTGAGCAGGGCTGATTATATCAAACTATTGAGCCACTTGTACAATTTTAATTATCAAGTTAGATTTAAGCATTATGAAGTTTAGTTGATAATAACTTTCTCAATGTGTTTTTTTTTTTTCCCATCAACAAATTTTGAGCCCTCCATTTCATTTAGAAGTTCCTTATTTCGATAACTCTTTAAGTGTCTGAAGAGACAGAAGAGAGAGAGTTTGCATATGTAAATTTATGACATTCTCACCCATCATAAATTAGAATTAAGAGTGAAAATGAAAAACAATGTATATTTTATGAAAATAAAAATTTTATTACTTATATTTTGGATAAGGAAAGTAATATGTAATTTTTGACCAATAAAAATACATACTCTTTCTGTTTTTATATATAAGAAAAAAAAAATTGTATCATAGTTTAAAGAAGTTGGCTAATCATAATCATTATGTTTGAAAATGAAAAAATTGAACTAAAGTATCCTATATTAATTAATATAAGCATATATTAATTATTTTTCATTAATATAAATTATAAAAAAATTTAGAAAACATATAATAAATATTTATTGAAATGTGTAATTTTGTTTATATAAAAAAAAGTAATAGTTTTTTTTACAAATAAAAAACGAAGTAATAATTAGTAGCTAGATTACTAATACAAGACTATTTTAATTGAATATATTAAGGATTCAAATGATATAATCAATAGCTTCATCCCTTAATTGGGTTGCATAATTAATTAATCATAAACATGAGTGACGATACCTCAATCTCATTGTACATCGGAATTTGAACGAGCACCATAGGGTAAGCCGAGCTGCTGCCAAGCTCAACATCGTCGTCTTGCTTCAGTGCCTCCCACTTGTAACGCTTCTTAGGGTTGCAGAGTCCGAACGACTTGACCATCACTATTACTATTCCCATATACACTCTCTCCACAAACAGCATCACGGACATGGCGAGGCAAACCATCACCATCACCTTCAACCCTGGAACGATCACAGGAACCCTAGTTTTCTCCCACATCGTCCCCATTGCTGAAACTGATGAATCCATTATCGTGAGATCCATCAATAGAAACAGTAGGTGTGTGTGTGTGTGTGTGTCCTTCTTGCTAGAGTCTGGGCTCGATCGACTGCCTTTGGGTTTGCTAAAAGCACACGAGAGATCGATACGTTGATAGAAATGCAGAATTACTGATTGATGCTTTGGAGTGAAGTCAAGCCAAAATATATAGCTTCGGGTTAGAGAGAGAGCAATGAACACCAAATTGAAGCTTGAAATCAGTTCGGCCTAATAATGAAGCGGTAGTGACCTGCAATGCTTTTGCTTTTGCAAGTTTTGTTTTTCTGGTTTGTGAGGTTATGAACTATGAAGAGTGTGTGTGTGTGTGTGTGTGTGTGTGGCTATATATATATATATATATATTACACATTACACGCACACAGAGAAGTAGAAAGCAAAGCTGAAACCAGAAGTGAAGAATGTCACATTCCAGCGGCTCTTCAATTGAATCAAAGGGATATATCATCATTAGTGAGTACATTCAACTTCTGAATATTAAAATATTTGATGAACGAACTCGCCCAACAAGTTGAGCTTATCCATCAATCCATTTATGTATCTAATTATTTATATGAATCATGGGACGTTAGATTGAATGGAATTTGATTTGGAGCATTAATTAAATTATGGACACATGCATGCATAACACAGTATATAAGGAAAATTACGCCAAAAGCTTGAGTACTAATATATATTATACTGAAAATCCGACCAATGTAGGCATTGATTTAAGAGTTCATTATTAAAATTGTAATCGAGCAGAACATTTCTTTAAACTAGTTGAGGTACTGATTTAATTATTAAAAGTAGTTCATTGGTTTAGCGTGGCTTTCAATACTATAAGTACTAACTAGTAATATTTCTTTATTTAATCATACTCTTTCCACACTATGATAGCCATATAAAAGTGCTACTATAAATATTGAAAATTAGATCAGTAAAGATATTAATTCAATTATTAATAGTTAAAATCATCATTGAATCAGTTATAAACGGAATACTTTTTTTAAATCAATTCAAATATTAATTTAACGATTTATTAGTTGAACCAACTTGGTTAACCTGGCTTTCAATACTATAACTAGTAGCTAGTAATATTGCTTTATTTAATCAAAATCATGGACTATTTTGATTTTTGAACCATATTAAATAAAGCAAACACATTTACAATTGTAATTCCCTGGTGCTTATTTCTTAGAGCCGCACTGGGAAATACGCTTGCAACTGCATCAATTGCTTTGGGACCACGTGCACACTAACTTGGACTAGCTACTGTTGCATGAATATATAACACCCTGTTTTTTCGTTAAATATATATATATATATATAAAATATTTTAAGAAAATCATTTTGCTTTATATGTGAGCATGCAAAATTCTTTACTCTATCTTATATTTCTTTTTTATCTTCTCTCTTTTGTCAATTCTCTCTATTCAATCATGATAGTACCTGCTTGATATATCTTTTATTTTGGTAAATTTTTTGAATTTAGGTCCCATTCCTAGAAAGAAATAGAATGAATTAAGAAAATACAGATAAAAATAAAATGTTAGAACTGCCGTGTCTTTTTTTTTACTGCATTTATAACTTTCAATTCACCAAAAAAAAGGAAGGAAAAAGAAAAGATTGATGCTGTTTGAATAATAGGAAAGTGGTAGCACATGTTAAAAAATTAACATGTTTCGAAGCTCAAAAAATTTTAGAGGAGCTTTACACGTTATAGATTGCTAGTGTAGTACGTAAATCATGCGCACACCTTCTTTATTCAATTATTATTAAATTATAATTTTCCCCTTTCCTAAATATAATACTTAATTGCCAAAATCAAGGAGATCAGAAAAAGTTAGATGAGTCCAAATGTTTTTTGAAATATATTATAAAAGCAATCTGAAATTTCGAGCCAAGGTATTGTGAAAAAAAAAAAGGACAACAACTTAAAAAAATTGAGCACAGTACTTCGGAGCATGGGAAATATATTACGTCCCATAGTTTGTATGTCTTTCCAACGCGCAATGTTTGCTAATCATTACAAATTAATGAGGTTAGGCCAATCAATTGACTAAAGTAGTTGACCAATTAAGTACTGCTGAGTTCTTAATTACTCCCTCACTTCAAAAATGTGCCCCTATTTAACTAAATCTCATATATTAATAAAATAATTATTTATTTTTAAACTAACATTATTTTTTTATATTTATTTTTTTAATAAGATATTTCACTTTAAAATGAATGTATTCATTAAAAAATTTTAAAAAAAATAAATGATTATATTATGAGGTACTAAAAATGTCTTATATTTTTAAACATTTAATTTTTTTAAAAAATATCTTATATTTTTTAACGAAGTAAGTATAATATAAGACAAAATTAACTCTTTTTTAGGTTATTAAGAAATATTCCTTGATATTATCAAAAAAGATGCAACCTTCCAATTTTTCCTTTCTTTGCAATTAATAATCATAATAAATTATTATTTAGAAATTCAAATAATAATAAATAAATAAAGAGTAAAATTAAAAAAAATTAATTGCTATAACTACATATTATGTTAAAGACAAAAAATTCTTTCAAACTTTATATCAAGTATAAGTGGAAGTATGGTTGGAAGTTCTTTCCTCTCTACTAAGATATAATAAGATATTACTTATGTATTTAGTATGTTAATAATTCATGTCTAAATTAAACCTCGTTTTTATAGTTGAGCATTTACCCTGAGATGCATGAGAGGCACCTGATCGCGCGAAAGACGTTTTATTTTTAACATTGTGTTTTAATTTCATAAAGATATCTTCCTATTAAAAATGATTATGTTTTAGGCACAGGAGTATTAAACGTGAGTATATCTTCTGACCAGAATTCAAGCATAAATTTGTTACATTGTAAAAAACTAACCCTATTTTAAAAATTGTTAATATCTTGTAAATCAAAAGATCTATTGTACGCATATACAAAGAGCATTCTATTAAGTGAGTTGCTTCCAAAAAAAAAAAAGTTTTATTAGTGTGGAATTATTTTTCTACGTAAATTCATAGCATTTTGTATTCATTTTTTACCAGAATTTTGTATCCATCTATCCTTATAGTACATAATAAAAATATAAATAACATATTATTTTATTATAAAATATTTCACCTCAAGTATATAGATGACAACTTATTCTATTTTATATTATTATATTATATTATCCCTATGCATGTTAAACATTTATACAGAATATTTTTTCAAAATTTATTGCCTTTCTCAGTATATTATAAATTATCTAAAAATTAAAAACTACTCCCTCCATTTAAAAATATAAGGCATTTTTAATCGAATCTCACCCCTAAATAAAATAGGTATTCAAATTAATCATATCTTTTTATATTTACCCCTACTAAACACTCTACAATAAATATAAAGTTATTATCAATATGGGTACTTAAAAAAAATAATTACGTTTCGAAAGACTAAAAATGTCTTATTAACATCCAACTTTTTAAAAAAATGTCTTACATTTTTTTAACGGAGGGAGTAATTTATAATTTACAAATTATATTAATAAAAAATGTCAAGACAATATCATAAAATCTAGATAACAACCTATATCCTGTACATATTAAAAATTAAACAAAATATTTTATTTTAAAATTTATCATCATTATGCTTATTAAAAATATAACAACACATTGTAATTTAGAAAGAAAAAATAGGGAAAGGAAATTAAAACAGGAGACAAAGGCATGCTATCAAATTGCAAAAAAGCTTTTAAGTTAGGCTTTCACGCCAACGAGATACAGTGAATGTCAAACAATTGAGAACTTTAAAGAGAAGATAGGATTGATACGTCACAGGAATAGGTCCTCAAATCAAAGAGGCCTAAATTTTGAACATGCTTTTAGATATGTAATATTAATTAAAAGGGAACTTTTTAGATTCGTTAAGACCATTGACTGTTCAAGGGGGGCACCATGATCAATGAGAAACACATTGGTTTTGCGCTTAGAGATTGTGGGGTGGTTATGTTATGCCATATTCTCTTCTGATTTATTTACTTTCAATGTGTTTAATCGAATTGAAGAAAACATTAAAGAGCTAGATGGCAATATGGACTTCGAATTATAAGTTTAAAAATAATTTAAATTTTAAACTCTTATTTAATATATTTTAAATCTTGAATAATTAAACTTGTAACAATCTCACCTCTATTATTAATCTTAAACAAATAATGTTTGTGGGTTCATGAATTCTCTATCTCCATGTGTTTTTGAACCCATCTTCTCGGTGGCATATTTAATTATTTATCCTCTACACCCACTCTTTTTATCCTCTTCTTCTTCATTAGCTGTAGCTAGTCTGCCATGTAGGAAATGATTTTTTCAGTTCAAGTAGTTCTCACCCGGCAAGTCTTGTCCCAGTAGTAACACCGAGAAGTCTATCAGCACTCGAAAAAGAGCAGGAACGAAGAACGCTATCAACCCTACATAATATCGCGAATGACATTGAAAACTAACGAAGCAGCATTATGAGCTGTGTGGTGCCTGCTCCAAGGCTATCCCACCCGACGAAGAATTCATTGGTGGAGCCGATGATGGATAAGGTGAACATGGAGCTCATCTATAAATGTGCGGAGACAAAATTGGAGAGAGGGAAGCCGAGGAAGAAGTGAACGAGGAGGAAAGTGGTGGGCCACGAGATAAGGACGGTGACCAAGACGGCGGAGCAGTGAGTGACAAAGCAGGGACTGACAAGATCACATGTCGGAGTCTAACGAGAGAAAGAAGCAAGCAAGCGAGAGGGGGGTGAGAGACAAAGAGGGAGGGAGGAGAGAGGCAAGGACGGGGAGAGAGAATTTTTAGTCCCATGTAATAGCAGTTTGCTTAAAATTAACGGGAGGAATTATATTGTCTCAAATTTAATTATCCAAAATTTAAAATCTATTAATATGAGTTTAGAATTCAAATAATCCAAAAATCTCATTTATACTTATTAAATACACACACTTTAATGATGTACTTTTTTTCATCAATATTTAAATGAAAGGTAGAGAAAAAATTTACAATAAGTATTTAACAGCGTAACTTATAGACAATTCAAAAAAAAAAAAAATCCTTCTCTCCTAATTAGGACTATACACAGGACAAAATCATGGGACCTGTTCAGTCAGTTATCATATTTTCACTTAAAAAAAAAAAGTGATGTAAGAATAATAATGGGTATGAATGCATAAAATGTCTCTCATATTGTTAATTCATATTTTGTGAAGCGTGGAGTTCACAGTTTAAATGAAAAGAGAATTGTATAAAAATATCAAATGCAAAGTGCGGTACAGTTCTGTTACCAGAAGATGCTACCGGCGGAGTCATATTTGTAAAATAAGAGCTTCTTTAAAGCTGCCAGGATACCAAACCTGCGCAGTAAAATATTGATGATAAATCATGTAATACTTCCCCCACACGCCAAAACAAAAATTCCTTCAGTTGAATAAACACAGCAAATACAAAGTCTTCAGATACATATGCATAACCCATGATTTTGCAGGTTCTTAATTTGCCATATCACCAGTGGGTATGCACAGTATTGTGAATTCACGTTACAGTGTGCTTATGAATTATAACCATCCAGTCTGAAAGCTTCCTTGCTGTCGCATCAGCTGTAAGAGGAATCAGTCCTTGTGTCGGCAATCAGTGCTGCAGAGCTAGAAAGAATTGAACAATGATAATCAAACAAGATTCAGAGTCACTCTTCCATCATGTTTGCTGTAACATTCAAGTTTCGCAATGCTTCAGGCACTTCCTGCCCACACTGCTCTAGAATTTTAATTAGTGGTCCAGTAAGTTTTGCGTCTCCTTTAGTTAAGAAACTGTGCAATATACCATTCACACTGTGGCGGGCCATCCTTGTTAAAATATGACCATAACGTTCAATAGAGGGTACAAAACTGGGTAGAATTACTATATCATACTTCCCTATATCTGCAGTGGACATGTGCTCCAAATCAATCAAGGATACTGCTGGTTTCATTCTGACATCTGAATCCACACTGTATGACATAAACATAAAATAAGCTAACTAATGAAGATTTGAACTGCCAAGGGGAAAAAAAAAAAAAGAACAAAAGAAAAGGAGAGATTTGAGTTATTATTGCCTAGCTTTTGGTAGAATAGCAACTGATAACATGATGAAAATGAGATTGTTACACAATTCATGCACATAAACTATGGCTTTGATACAACTATCTCAGGGAACATTGACATCATCGTGAATGTGATTCATTTTTTTTTTCCTTTTAGGCTTTATTTGGAATAAGGAAAAAAAAAAGATAAGAAAGAAAACTAGCTAAAGAGAAAAAAAACATTTTTCACCCTAGTTTTCTCATAATTTCCCCATAGAGAGAGGGAAAGCTAATGGAAAAAACTGCATTAGGAACGGAAAATATCTCTTTCTTCTACCTTTCTTTCTCGCTAGTTTTCTCTCCTACCTATTTTCTTCTCATTCAAAATGAAAGGTTACGTTGAAAGGTTTCTCTGCTTTAACAAACACATAACGAGGGAACCAGTAGCCAAAAAAACCTTCAACATATCCACACATTACTTTTAATAAATAAGCACAACCTTGACGCTTTCTAAGGGGGCTTTTTCTAGAATGAAATACCGTAACCAACTTTTAGGATTATCTTATTTTGCGTTTCATCTTCTGACCATTTTAAGAGTTTGCTCATCAGAAAGTTCTTAGGCCCATTCTCATGGTCTCAGTATCAAATTAGCTTGCACAGCTATATTTTAGAATACCCAAGCTATTATGTCATATTATTAGTTTTTAGGGTCTAACAATTAATGATGACTTCAGGGTCATCGATGATAAATTTCCATTACCATTTATCTACAAGATTCACAGATCCGATAGGAAGTTCAATAAAATACTGTGTTAGTAGGTTACTAAGTGATGAGATTTCCTCATTTTGCAATAGGCCAATAGCTAATCTTTCCGAAAGAATACATATCAATTTGCAATTATATAAATAAGCGTCTCGTAATTTACCTATCATTATATATCTGTGAACCAGACCCAACTGAAAGGGAATAGCTTCTGGATTTGAGTGCAGCCACCAACTTGTGAGACTTCACAACTTCTCTTACAATAAATAACACATCTAAATTACACGTCTGGCCACTCCAACACTGATCCAAGGCTTTGATGATCTGCACAAGTTAGAACATTCACGAAGGGTTACATAATTCATGCAAATAAAAATATGAACAATTACGTGCATGCCTTTTTCAGAGTCGTAGCTTGGAAGAAAAAGGAGCACAGAATGTTGATGCATCTTAAGGATGATGATTTTGAGTTTGTAAAACATGGGGAGGTTACTATTACATAGAAAGTGAAATTCTTGAGTGGATTTAACAAAAGGCAACAAAACAAGCTCAAACCATATCAAGACAATTGAGGCTTATCGATGGAAGAATAATTTAACCATTTAGGGGTTTTAAAGATATAAAATGTAGATGTATGGAGACCAGAACAGATTAGGGACTAGATAACGAGAATTTAAGTTATTTGGAAAAATTCAAATTTAGGACATAGCACAACACTGAAAGTACTCCTAGGATGGAATTGCTTCTTGTACAAACTAATCAGATAACCATAAAAGGGGCTGAACTCTCTCAAATAAGCTCTGTTAAATCCATAACGTTAGGTCACAATCCAAAGCGTATGCATAGCCCCAACAGAAGAACGTGAACACCATATATTGACTTGGTAGATGTCCATAGAAGCCCAAAAATACCAAGACCAAGAACCACTTTGAATTCATTCATAGCTCAAGATTGACATAATCTGAAACCTAAACGAGAAACTAAAATCAAAACATATTTGGTTAAAGTTTTCTTTCAATTGAAGATGAATGTATTGATGAAAAGAAGAATACAGATCAATGGAGAACAAGAAATCCTCCACAACTGTGATTCAAAACCCAACATATATTTGCTCTGCATGTCTTTCCCACCCCTCTGTGAACATGTACGGGGCACCTCTAAGCAAATCATTAGCTGAAACCAAAAGGGATAACTCTTCTCCAATGAAGATGCAGAGGAAGAAACATCTGACAAAAATTACTCACATTCTGTCTAACCATATACAATAACGGACTTGCAGTTTAACTTTTCCTACCAACAAAGAAGGATTACCAAAGAAAACAATGTATCAACGGAGTGGAGGAATGGTAGTTGTTGCAACTTTTCTTTAAAGTAAATAGTGCTAAAGGCACCAGTCCTTGCTACTGAACTTAAATCTTGTATTAACAGGCTGCTTAAGGACTAAAATTGATCGAACTAGATAAGAAGAAAACAATTGCTAACTTCCAAAAAAAAATCTGAATCTAAGACAGAAAAGGTTGCCTTATACTAATTCTAATGGTTGTAATTTAATCACTTAAATAGATCAGGAAGAAAACAAGCTTAGTTTGCCAAGACATATACCTCTTTAAGCCTTTCTGCTTCAGATGCACACACTTTCACAGACTGGACAACGCAAGAACTTTGACTTGTAACTGAACCATTAAGAGATAGTCTACAAATTGGTCCTGCCAAAAGATATTGAACTGCCGGAATAGATGTAAAGTGGGTGCAATCATTGAAAACCACAAGTTGGGGAGCACCAGAAACAGAATCCTTGATCGATTTTATAGCATCAATTTGGCCAGCACTAAAGAAAGAGTTCAGCTGATCAACAACCTATTCAATATCAAAACAATAATTAATAAAATGATACACAAAATTGATGGGAGAAAAGAAATGAGAAAAGTGATTTTGTGGAATAAAAAAACAATTGAATAATGACTACAAAGACATTATATACATTGCTAAAAAGGAAAGGGAACGGGACATAAAAGTCTCTCCCACAAAATACTCGTTATAAGTGATATAAGGATATTTTGATCAAAATAGAACTTCCTGTACCTCATCTTTTGCTGCAAGTAGTTTTTTAAATAAAAGGGAAAATCATGCAATTTAAACATCTTTCTTGGGAGAAGAGTGTAAGTTACCTTCTTCTAAGAGATAGTGATAGTACTACTCTTGGACAAAAAAAGGATGGTAATGGTACTAGCACTAACAATAAATAAGAATATAGAATAAATGAAAACAAGAAGGGAAACTTCCATGTACAGTAAAATCAATAGAATAATTACCAGCATAGAGACACCAGATATATCAATAGCCTTCAAAGAGACAAGTTCCAAAAGCCTTTCAGGAGTAGAGACAAGGAACTCAGGCTCACAGCATTTCAGACTGTAAAACACCCCCAAAAAAAAAAACAAAGAAAGAAAGAAAGAAAGAAATGATGAGAAGCTGAATAAGATATCAAGGACATGTTTATACATGTCTATGTTCCAACTATCATACCTAGATGTAGGAGTCTTTTCCAATATATCATCCAATTTCTTGCACATGATTTTCAATTAGAAAATCAAATTTTATTATTAACTTTCATTTACCTTTATTTTTTTTTCTTTTCGTATATATACCTTTATTTTTTTCCTCTTCTTCGTATTTTTCATCACCTAGGATTTCATCATTGATCTGCTTACTTTGAGTTCCAATTTGCTTATTTTAAGGCATTCAGGGGCAGGACCATTGCCATCTTGCCTCTAATCTCCACATTCTCTGAGCTCTTTTTCAAGTAAAACAAGCTATCAAAGTAATTATTGATTCTGATTTCCGCTCAAAGAAGTTGTTCATTTAAATACAGCACTGAAGGATGTTAATATAAATATTTGACTTGTAGTAGATCTGCAACCACAAAGCACTCTCCTATTATTTGCATTACGTGTTAGAGCTGTCAATTCTTCACTGTTTAGCTGCCAGATAATCATAGTCAAGAACTGGTTATGAGAACAAGCATTATATGTTACTGCCTTTTGATCGCAAGCACCACTATGTCACAGGATTACATTATGAGACCCGGGTAAAAAAAAAAAAAAAACACAACACACACACACACATACAGCGTCACCCAATCATCCATTACCCTTGAATCTGGTGGTCTAAGGAGGCACCTGGATGTATACTCACTGTATGAATTCCAAGAGGCTTCAAAGCCTTGCAAACTAAGCGGACCTGTTCATAATGAGTATAGAAATTACAGAAGTGCAAACAAGTCAAGGGTAAGAATAATCAACAAGCAACGCTGGTTCACTAACATTGTGTCTTAGCAAAAGCAACAGCAAAAAGTCACAACATGAATGTTGCATTAAGAGTTCAGATTAAGTACGATTAAACAAGGAAACTTAGAAGCATCAGGAATACAGACAACAAGGAAGAAATTTACCCTAAAAAAGAAAGGAAAGGATACTTCAACTTATAGTAAGAAATAATATATAAATATGAAAATGAGAGATTATTTGCAAACCTTAACAGATTTTTCTTGGGTGGGTACAAGAAATAGAAGAAAGGGACTGCCAAGGGATAAGCCTTCTTTCTCCTTTCTTGCAATAGTATCAGCAGCACTAGAAACCATCCATGCAATTTGTTCGGTGGTAGCAGAATTTCCATTGGTCTCCATAATATCTTTCCCAGTACAATAACATTTCCAAAATTCTAATCCCCATGGGTCAAAAGCAAAGAGTCTCCCTCTTGATCAGTGTAAGCATCATCATGCCGCAGTGCATTTTCAATTGAACTTAAACACCATATAAGAAACTTGGAAGGGGTCTCAGGGTTTTCACCGTCTCTTCCCTTGGGGAAGCAAAGGCTGCCCTTCTTAGTCACCTCAATATTTGCTCTTTCTGGGTTAATATATTCCTGGCCCAGATAATGGGTGGCTGTGACAGATTTATGTTTATTCTTCAGATCTGTGACCTCATTGTCCTTTAACTTGTTAGATTTTGAAACATCCTCTCCTAGCATGTCTGTCTTTCTAGCAGCACTCTTCCCATCATCAGGCCTCCCGTCTTTCTGGGAATGACTTTGCTTTTCAGAACGCTTCTTTTTTAATTCTGGTTTCCCATGTCGATCATTGAATGGATCATCCGGAGTAGGCAGGCTAAAGCACATCCCCTGCAATGCCATGAAGAAGTGGCTTATAAATTTTACAAGACAAGAGAACCTATCATAACTAGAGCTCTACGTTGCGTTGCGTTGACTCTGAGCATAAACTTCAACTCACTGCATTTCTACAAACGAAAAAAATCCTAAATGCTAAACAAATGTTTCATCCACGAAGAATTCCACCGAGTGTAACTACCAATCAACGGTTCCGTGAAACATCAAACTGCCATATAAAAGCTACAATTTCCTCAAACCTATTCCCAGCAGATAACAATACACACCACTATTGTTACGAAGGAAGTACCTGGCACATGCGGCGTTTTCCGGAGAGGCGGCGCTTCTTGGCGGCGATGATGGCGGCCACCCTGGCAGAAACAGAGGAGGAGTCATTCTGCTTTCGGAGCTTCTTGCGATTCGCTTTGTTCTTCTTCCTTCTAACAGCGTCCTCCCCCTTGGCCATCGGTACGGTACAAAGATAGCACACAGTCGGAGTTGGAGCAACAAGTCGAGACCTTCGCGCATAACCAGAGAGCCTATGTTGGGCGGCGCCTCTTTTTGAGAAAGGATTTCTTTTTTTCTTTTCTTTTTTTCTTGAGCAATTTGGGAAAGGATTTCTATTTTTTTAAAATAAAATATATTGAATGAATTTTTGGGCTTATTCACCTGCGTGCTAAAGTAAAAAAATAAATAAATATATATTTCCTAAAATGCTACATGGTGAAAAGAATTTACCACAATACTATAAATTTAAATTGTTGGTTTGTCCCAAATCGATTGATAAACATAATTGATTAAAAAAAAATATTGGCTGGGCAAGTGTCGTTGGTGTTGTTAAATTAGAAGTTGACTTCACTGAGACCAATTTTTTTTCTCACATATTGATTGCTGCAGCACCCTTGCTTTCCCAATGTTATTTTTTCCCTTTTTCTAATTCTCTGAGCTGACACTCAGCTCATTATTCCACCCCCAATCCCTCCTCCCACAATTAAAACTAATAATTTTGGGAGGGTCAGCTTATTTAAATTAAGATTAAAATATTCAAATGAGTAAAAAATTTATATAATTAAATATGGTCCTCACCCCTCAAATTTATTCAAACTAGCTCGAATATTAAATTATTAAATATTATTTTATTTTATTTTATTTTTCTTTTCTTTTTAGTCTATTGTAATTATTGTTTTTGGTAATAATTGTAATTATTATGTTTAACTGTTAAATTACTATTTTCTGCAAAACATTAATTTTAAAATTAAATTATCTTGCACCTCTAACTAAGGAGAATTATGATGGAGAAAAAAATAATACTAGGTGAGGATATTGCTACCAATTCAGGCCAAGCTGAATAAATTAAAATAAATTTAGGGTTGGACTTAAACGTTTATAAAATTTTCTTTGTTTAAAACTTATTCGGGCCACTTAAACTTGAATGGGCTTGGCCAAAATACTTGAATTCTTTTATTAATAGAAAAGTTAAAATAATATAAAATGTAAAAATCTTAATGTTTTAAAATAAAAATTTAAATTGGTCAAAAAATAAAATAAAATAAAATAATATTTAATAATTTGAGTACTCAAACTAGTTGGAATAAGCCTGAGGTATTAGAGACAGGTTTGACTAATAGATTTTTTTATATAGTTGAATATTTTAAATTTAACCTAAATAAATTTAATTCGTCCAAACTATCAACTCTAATTGTTGAAGAAGGAATTGGGGTTGCATGATGAGCTGATGAACGGTTGGGAGAATTAGAATTTAGAAAGAGGAAAACAATAATGAGGAGGTAAGAATGCTGCAATAGTCTGATGCAGGCAAACAATATATGAAGAGAAATTGATTTCAATGAAGCCAACTTCTAATCTAACAAAATGAAAAAAAGAACTCAATGCATATTAAGTCAATTTCTTTTCAATCTATCGTGTTTATAAATCGGTTTGGTACAAACCAAATTTGAATCTATAATATTCTGGTAAGTTATTTCTACCATGGATTTTGGGAAATAATTTTTTTTCCCTACAGCACGAAGGTCAAAAAGCCATTTTTAGTTGGTTTTTGGGAGAACTTTAGCTTTGTCATTGCCAAAATCAATTCAGTCACTAGAAAATATCAAAACCCTGTCCCTTACCAATTGGGAATTAGGTGATATATCTGTGCTCAAAAACTTACAAATGCTTGAGACTCTGGAATTGGTTAATTGTTTAATAATTGAACTACCTAATGGAGTTAGTGAGCTTAAAACATTGAGACATTTAGGCTTGGTACATTGCTCGATTGAAAGGAATAATCCATTTAAAGTGATTGCTAGATGCTCACAATTAGAAGAATTGCATTATGTTTTGAATGAGGATCATATGCTCAAGAATGAAGAGGTTTCTCAAATTACATTCCTTCCAGGATATCAAAGATATAATATAAATGGTGGTGACTTCTCTGATTTTTGTTCTCCTCAATTGGATATTTCAATCAAAAAAAGCTTTAAGCCAGCCAAGCTACAAAAGATATTCTCCAAAGAAATGATTAAGTCATTAGCAACAAGAGCAGAGATTCTAGAATTGAAAGGAGATATTGAGTTTGGTCGGGATAATCTTATTCCTGGCATTGTTTCAATTGAAGATGGAGCTATGAAAGACCTAGTGAAGCTTTCTTTGAATTCTTGGCATATAATATAATTTATTAAAAATATAATATAATTAGTCATATAAATAATTTTATTATATTAATAATTGAAAATAAAAATAATAAATGTATATTTTTTAATAATGTAATGTTTGATATATGTGTTTTTAGTTAAGTAACACATATTTAATTTTACTTATAATAATTACAAGTGCATTTCAGTTCAATTAGTAAAGAAAGAGAACATGATATTTAAAAATGAGAAGGTCAAGGGATCAATTTTTAGCCTTAGCATGTTTTGAAACGAATATATAACGTGGTATGTGGTAGCGACGTGACATATGATATGGCATTAATTGATCCACATGTGAGGGAGTGAGGTGTCAGGTGAGTTGGCACATGTAGATGCATATGTGGCTGATAAGGTGTCTAGTGACATGGCATGTGCTAGATGTAGATGTGACGGGTGATGTGGCAAGGCACTGAGGCAGCAGTGGAGCCTTAATGAATTTAGTTTTCAATTTTTTAAAGACGGATTTAGAGACTAATATTTCGTTTCTATCATTTTATATAATTTTTAAACCATTTTGTAGTAACAGATTTTTTATAAACTTAAAGGTGGCATTTCTTTTATTTAGAGACAAAATAAATCTATTCCTAAGAAGAGATGGCTTAAAAAATTTGTCTCCAATTATTCAATAAAGCTCCTTTTTGAGACACTGTAATATTCATATCTAAATTCATCTTTACGTGTTTATAGACAAATTTTTCATTAGTTAGAAAAAGATTATTGGATATCTTTAAACAATTTTTTTTTTTGGTAGTGCATTTTGACATCATAGGCTGCTGTCTCGAAATTTTGGTCAGCATGTGAGCAATAGAAATTGACACTGGAAGGTGAGAGCATCACTACCCAACCATGCACTTAGAGGTTTCCAACTAGTGGTCATTTTAAAATTAATTGCGATGGAGTTTTTAAATGAAATGTCGGTAACTCTACTATTGGAATAATTTGTAGGGACGATAAGGATATTTTTCTTTTTTGGGAGAAGATGATAAGGATGTTTTATTTGGGCTTTTGTGGAGAAAATCCCTCCTCCCACAATTAAAACTAATAATTTTGGCAGGGTCAGCTCATTTGAATTGAAGTTAAAATATTTAAATGTGTAAAAAATTTATATAATTAAATATGGCCCCTAACTCCTCAAACTTATTCAACCTGACTCGAATATTAAATTATTAAATATTATTTTATTTTATTTTTTTTTGTTGGTCTATTGTAATTATTGTTTTTGGTAATAATTGTAATTATTATTTTTAATTATTAAATTACTATTTTCTACAAAACATTAATTTTAAAATTAAATTATCTTCCACCTCTAAAGAGAATTATGATGGAGAAAAAAATAATAATAGGTGAAGATATTGTTAACAATTTGGGCCAAGCTGAATAAATTAGAATAAAATTTTCTTTATTTAAAATTTATTCGGGCCACTTAAACTTGAATGGGTTTGGCCAAAATACTTGAATTGTTTTATTAATAGAAAAGTTAAAATAATATAAAATGTAAAAATCTTAATGTTTTAAAATAAAAATTTAAATCAAAAAATAAAATAATATTAAATAATTTGAGTACTCAAATTGGTTCGAATAAGCCTGAGGTGCTAGAGACGGGCTTGGCTAATGGGTTTTTCTATATAGCTGAATATTTTAAGTTTAACTTGAATAAACTCAATCCGTCTAAACTATCAACTCTAATTGTTCAAGGAAGAATTGGGGTCAGATGATGAGCTAACAAACGGTTGGGAGAATTAGAATTTAGAAAGAGGAAAACAATAATGGGGAGGTAAGGATGCTGCAATAGTCTGATGCAGGCAAACAACATATGAAAGAGAAATTGATTTCAATGAAGCCAACTTCTAATCTAACAACATGATAAAAAAAAAAAAAACTCAATGCATATTAAGCCAATTTCTTTTCAATCTATCGTGTTTATAAATCGGTTTGGTACAAATTAAATTTGAATCTATAATATTCTGGTAAGTTATTTCTACCATGGATTATGGGAAATAATTTTTTTTCCCTACAGCACGAAGGTCAAAAAGCCATTTTCAGTTGGTTTTTATCCTCGTGGTTGGTAAGTTGGTATATTTTAATTCTCCCACGAATTATATGAAATCCGATCCCAAAATAAACGTTTTACTAATCAATTTATAATATTGCTTTGATATTCAAATTCAAAATATTATTAAATATTTCATGCAATCAAGAATTAAAAAAATTACAAATATATATCATTAAAATATTAAAAACTAGTATTACTTTTTTAATATTACTTTCTAATAAAATAAATATATTTTTCTTATATTACCTCAGCTCTTTCTAAAATATATTCAATGAGAACTTTAAAAAAAAAAAAGTAATACTATCAACTTTAGTATTTTGTGTTAACATTAATCAGTAAAAAATGCCCTGATGAGGGAATAACATTGTATGAGATGAATTAAGTTTTTTTTTTCTTTTTTTTGTAACTATGAGTTGAATTAAGTTTTGATTTGGTGTTGTGGGCAAAAAGATGTTTTCCCGTGGTTGAACCACGTTTTAAGACCCAAAGCCAAGCTTACCTTTGACAAAAGATAGGGCCCAGTCCAAAAAAAAAACACCAAGCCCCAGCCTTTTTTCCAAAAAGGAATTGAATGTTTTTATCAAATCATCTCACTCTTTGGGCCCAGAAAAGGCAGCTTGAGTCAGCTTGTGAAAGGTAGCTTCAATAATAAATATATCAATATAGTAAGAGGAACAAGGATACCACCAACAGGGTTAGATTTAGCCTAAAAAAAAAAAATAGTCTCTCATATTATAACATATTAAGGTTTCAATTTTCATTGAGAGGGGTGCTCACATTTAGCACCTAACAATACTTTGAACAATATTGCTTTTAATAG